ACTGGGTGTTGTGCACGAACAATGAATCATGGAACACTTCATCTAGAACTAATGATGTAATGTATGGGGATTAACATAAGAATAAAAAAAAAAAAAAACTATGAAAGCTTAAGAAACTTCCTTATAACTTTACCTTTTCAACACCTCTGAGGTCTCAGGGCATGAAAAACAGGGATGTAAACCAATCTAGATAATGACATAATCAGTTATCACACATATCAGGCTCCGCCTTTCTCCTTCCAAAGGAACTCAAATTAGTTGCATATTTCTTGGAATATTAGCAGTTGAGCTTTGAAAATAAAATAAAATAAATGTACATGATTCAAAAGGAAGTAGTAATTCATTCCAATGTCAGGTCTTATATACTTTGACCGAGAGTATCCTACATCCTACTATAACCACTCCAACCCTCCCCATCTAAGAAGTTCAAACAATGCTGTTACCTATTCTTGATACTTCAGAAATATTCTTCTAAGGAACCACGTGCTATCTGAGCTGGGAGGTTTTCTTTCTTGCATTTTGTTATTTGTTTTTGTTCTGGTTTTCCCTTAGAAGAAGCCAAGACTGCCAGAATTTAAGTCTCTGCTTGGAAGAAATGTAGGACCGCAAAAGCAAATACTGGAAACCTTGTAAAATCCTCTCAGAAATATGCCCTTAGAAAGAATGAAGAGAAAAGAAAGTCATAGGCGCTTTTAAAATCACATTCCTCCCTAGTCAAAAGGACAGCAAAAGTACACATAATAATAGGGGCTACCTGATGTACATGAAAATAATCTTTCCAATAGTCTATGCATCTATAAACTAGGTTTAGTTATTGCTTCCTCTGGATGGGTTTTGTGAGACTTAAGTGCTTTGTGATCAGTGAATGTAAGTTGAGATAAAAACTAGAAATAAAATAAACTCTTTGCCTTTAAATAGAAGTGGTTCCAGTTTCCTTTTACAAGCCCGAAGGGTTGTTGTACATATTAAAACTGCTGCACAGCTCCGTCCCTGGTCACAGAAATTCCGCTCCCCCCCCGCCCCCCGCAAGATGTCAGATCTCTGGGAAACAGCAGTTACAAAAGGATGCTTTTCATAGCTTGTACTAGAAAACTCTGGCATCCCATCTCTGCATAAAATAGCACTAAACTGAGTCACAATGCCGGAAGCTGTGCCTTCTGCTTCTCTTCAATGGGATCTAGATCATTTCTAGAGAAAATATTAAATAATACTGCATAGTTTTGCCCATGCATGTGACATGCTGATTCTTCTAATCTTCCGTTTGCCCTAGATAATTTTAAGCTTTATCCATCAGTGTACCACGCGAGAAAGAAAAACGCAGTTAACAAGATGACAGTGTTATCTAGGTATTTGGCATCAATATTAGCAAGAGTCTGTCATTTGACAATTACTTCCCTAGCATACCAGACGGTAAAGAAAATGTTTTCATTCATCCGCAAATGACTAACATTTTATTGATGTCTCAAAATGCAGTTGAATACTACTATTGCACTCAATTTCTGAGCAGGGTTTGAGAGTTAAGCTTGAATACGAATAACATCAGCAACTCCTGCCGCAAGCATCTCGGTTAATTGCCTAGCACTGGAGTGTCAGTTCAGCGGGGAGGTGATGCTAGTTAGGGGCTCTTGGAGCAGTCAGTCCTGGGTGGTCACAGGTGATGGGAACACTTCCCTTTCCCCATTTCCCCCATATATCCTCATGCATTGCGATAAAAATCACCCTGAGCACCGATACCGACAAACAAAACGACTCCCTGCCTGCCTCGTAAAGAGCTCAGTCTGGGGAGGCAGCCGGATGCTGACCCCTGCAGAGATTATTGCTTCTGTGCGCTTTTCCAAAAGATCCCGCTAGCATTAAGGAAAACGAGTTAGGGATGTGCGGTTTTGCTTTATTTATTTCCTCCAAGGGAAGAAGGACTGGCGTCAAGGCGAAGAAAATCTTCAAAGACTGCTTAAGGGGGCTGAGGGTGGTAGTGGTGGTGGTGAACATATTTTTTAATTACTTGTTTCTCTCCACTTCCTCGCTCTGCTTCCCAAACTCCTCACTGAACAAGATTGATTGGCGTAACTGCTATTGACTCCAGCCTCGGTTTTCGCATTGATCTGCAAATGGCCCGGAATAGCTAAAGGGTCTTGAATCTGGAAACGAGTTTAAGAAGAGATGAAGTAGGAAAGGGTAGGGGGCGGCCCCTTGCCCAGCACCCGGGTCTGCCTTACGCCAGGACAGCGGCTCCCAGCGGCGGGGCAATCGGTTAAGAGGCTGCGGCGTGGGAAGCAGGGGGAGCCTCTCTGCGCCGCGGAGGAGGAAATCTGTCCAACCTGGTTTGGAGCCTGTTAAAAAAATATATAACCCTGTGACTCGTTAAACCCTAAAACTCAGTCCTGTCTAGATTCGGATGCGCTGATCATTATGCCTGATAGGCTCAAACGGGTCAAACTGCCTCGTACATAACAGGACTGCCCGGCTCTACACAATTAAAACACTTGATTGCAGTCTCCTCCCGACTGCGTCCAGCCACGACCCGCCCCGTCCCTCCCACCGCGCCTGCGTGCCGCGCGCGCACGAATCCGTGCACGCGCATACTACACACTCACCCCATACACATCCACACACATCCTCCATTTCGACCATACCTCACACACACACACGCACTATTTAGTGTCAGCACGCATAGGGTGGGGAGCGGGTAGCGGGCGCCCTCCCATTCATATTGACTGACCCAGTAGATACACCAGCTACTATACCGCAAGGCCCCACATGCACCCCTCCATGTGCCCTCAAAAAGCAGCACCCCCGCCACCGTCCCTACCTATTTCCGAAAAGAGGTAAAGAGTGAACTAGTTGGCCGACTGTAGCCAACTTATCGATTGTAGCGCGGCCGCCCAGGAGAGATTGGAAAAAAATTAAACAACAAAATCTCACAGTCCCTGGCGTCATGATGGCGCCGACTACAACTTGGAGGACTTTAAAGTTACGGTGTCTCAAGAGGTAAAACGCACCAGAGAGGGAAAGCAAAGCGCCCCTCAGCTCTCCACCTCAGCACCGACACGGAGACTTTTCTAGCAAAACATCACTCTAGTGCATATGACAAGAAGGGAAGCATTTTGTCTAAGACACATCTCTCTTTCCCCCTCACTTTGCATAATTGTGATATACCTCCTCCTCCGGATTTTTTTTCCGTTTTCTTTCTTTTCTTTCTTTTTTTCCCCCCCTTAAATTCCCCCCCTCCCCTGCTGCATCCCCAGTCTCCGGGCGGGGTTGCTAAGGAAACGGCCGCTTGGCAACGCGCGCGAGCCCGGGGGCCAGCGGCCGCCGCTGCGCCCCGCGCTCCTTCTGAAGGCTGCTGCGATTGCAGCCGCCCGCCGCCGCCGCTCGCCCTGCCTCCGCCGCCGCCGCCGCCGCGCCTCCTCCCTCACTCTCCGGCGCGCTCGCCTCCTCGCTAGATGGTGTGCGAGCCGCCCGAGAATTAGACTCACTCCGGACTCGGCCAAACGCAACCGAGAGGAGGTGTAGTGTGGTGCCAGGGGGTGGGAGGGGAGGGAGGGAGGGAAAGCGAAGAGAAGGAGGAGGGGAGGCAAAAAAAGAGAGAAACAACAGCCAACAACTAGAGGGGAAAGAAAAAAAAGAAAGAAAAGAAACCCACCCACCGACCCCCCCCAAAAAAAACCCACAAAAAAAGAAAAAAAAAAGAAAAAAAGAGGAAAAAAAAAAAATCCTGTGGCGCGCCGCCTGGTTCCCGGGAAGACTCGCCAGCACCAGGGGGTGGGGGAGTGCGAGCTGAAAGCTGCTGGAGAGTGAGCAGCCCTAGCAGGGATGGACATGATGCTGTTGGTGCAGGGTGCTTGTTGCTCGAACCAGTGGCTGGCGGCGGTGCTCCTCAGCCTGTGCTGCCTGCTACCCTCCTGCCTCCCGGCTGGACAGAGTGTGGACTTCCCCTGGGCGGCCGTGGACAACATGATGGTCAGAAAAGGGGACACGGCGGTGCTTAGGTAGGAGGAACGGCGTGCTTTTCGTACTTGTCTCAGTCTTTCTCTCTGTCTCTCTTTCCACCCTTCTTGCCTTTTTTTTTTTTTTAACATTGAGTAATAATGCTGGTGGTGATCAACATAAAAAAATAAATAAATAAAACACAAAACCCACACATCTCAAGAAATCCAGGTGCTGATTCGGCCGGGAGCCTGGCCCCTTTACTCTGGGGCAGGTAGCAAGCTGGACGCGTGATGCTAAAGCACTTTGCTGGAACGCCAAGTAGCCCGGGGATGAGTAAGTGTGAGGTTTAGGAGGGGCAGGTGCCACTTTGAAACTCAATTCACAAGGTCTCTGTTTTACTGTCATGGGGTACTCTTGGAGAGTCTGACAAGTTTATCAGGTTTGTTTCTGTTTTACTCTAGCCTAAGCTACTTTTTCAGAACTGCTGGCTCCCTGCTCCCATTTATTTTCCCTTTCACTTGGACACTTAGGCTCAATTTCTCCCTCTTCAAGAGCTTTCTTTCTTTCCGCTGATCGTTTTCTCCCCTCTCTCTTTTTTCCCTCCTCATTTTTCTTTTCCCATTTTCCCACTTCCTTCTTACTCTCCTTTTCTTCTATTGCCTCTTTTCATCATTTTCCTGTTTTCTCTGTAATCTTTCCTCCCTTTTCTATTTTCTCCTCCTGTTTATCTTCACCACTCTGATTTCTGATTCTGTTTAGCCCCCTTTCCTCCCCTCTTCACCTCTCCCCATTCCTTCTCTTCCTTTTTCATGTCCCTGTTCTGTGATCTTGTCTTCCCTTTTTTGAGTCACATTTCCCATCCCTCTCCCCATATCCTTTCCCATCACCATCACATACACATGCATGTTCCCTCTGAACCCTTCCAGTACCATTTTCTCACACTCACAGATCTCTTTCCCTTCAACACACTCACTCACATACTCTGTTTCACATCCTCACACACACTGGCACTTCCATGCTCTAACAATCACTTTCATGTTCACATTCTCTTTCACTGTTTAAAAGGCACACACTCCTTCACTGTTCCACACACTGTCACTCACACATGTGTACACATGGTCCCTCTCTGTCTCCCTGTTTCTCTTGATCCCTTCTTCCCCCTCTCCTTCTTCCCTCCTTCCATGTTCAGTTTTACTTCTTTTTCTCACTCTCTCTTCCTCCCTTCTTTTCACTAAGCTTGAGCACTGAAATGTTTTGTCATTAATGAACATCCGCAGCCTGATTTTACCCCTAAGCAACACTGCAGAGTGAGCGTCTGGAAACATTTTTTTTTTTTTTCTCTTGTGAAAATATGAATTGATGATCAGCAGTGCTTAGATCTAAACAAGGCTAAAAACACTCTTATTCCTTCATTTCCCATTGCCCTACCTTCTCCCCCCCGACAGCCCCCAGCTGACGTACACTTCAAATCTCCCTGAAAGATCTTCTTTCTCTCCACTGGGTGGTAGTTGGCTTGTAAGTGTGGATGCACAAAATCAGTATACATGGCATGTTTAAGGTGACAGAGAGTGGGATAGGTTTCTCTTTGAATTGTGCAACATATTTAAATTTAACGATCTGGAATCTGGGTGTGGTATATGTTTTACATCTTCTGAAACATGCTTAGGACTCCAAATTCACTTGGAATACTATTATAATTTCTGATATACACTAATAACTAATATGCTTTCATAATATGTTATCTATGCTGCTGTAAATACAAAATGCCACTGAATGTATACAAAAGTAACATATAATTTGTTATAACTTAGTAAAATACCTTTTCATTGCTGGTAAAAGCTATGAATTCTATGTCACATAGAGGATATAAATAAAACCCACATTTATATTCTTTATATTAAGTTTCTTTTGGAAGTTTGAACAACAGTGGTAAGCATGAAACACTACCTTCAGAGGCTGCAAACACAGATCACGGGAGCTGCAATCTGTGTCTGTGTGGCGGCATATTGCTTATTTGTGATGAGCATGAACATTTTCAACCTAAAGGGTTTGATACACTACTTGCCTTTGGGTGATTTATCTTGGCATTTTGTTTCTAATGAATCTAATACATGCTATAGCTAATTAAAATATCTGGAACCATATTCTGCTTCTAGGAGACCTAGGTTTAGTTCTCTCATTGCTTGCAATAGTGAAGCTTCTCTGTCTAGCTAATGGGGGCAATATCTTTCCAGTGTTGTTGCTTTGGTGCAGTCCTTGTTCACTTGTGTACACTGTAACACATCCACTGAGATGCTTTATCCTGACTTTTGTAATATCTTAATTAGGGAACTTTTGACTCTCAAACTTTTTAAAAAAGAATAAAATCTCTATCTCTTCTAAGTGACGTTTCTACCAATTACAGTGTTCATTTCTTTTTTAATAACCAGAATAATTTCTTGTCATATGAAACAGAAGTCAAATTACCCAAAGTAATTTGCTTATAGTAATTCTGTAATTCTCTAGGGACTGTCCCTCTTTTTATTTTTATACATTGTCCATAGGTTTTTAAACTATTTTAATATCTGTGTTTATAAGAAGTTCTCTCTCTGTTAAAAATTGTTAAATTGTATCAGTTATTTTTCTTTACTCTTCTTCTGCATCTGGTATTTGCTCTGTTCACACCAGTATAGACAGAGCTTAAGGACAAATTGAGTAAGTCAGGTGCCACATTTTTCATCAAAAGTAATGTCCCAGTTATATTTTATGTTTTTACATTGGAGACTTAGAATCATATTTGATGTTACTCTCTAAATCATTAGGAAACAAAACAAAACAAAATTTACCTTCAAACATACACCCCCTCCCATCAAAGTACAAAAATCGGGTGCTCAAGAGAACACTTTACTGAATTACATGATATCATTTAGTAAGCTTTACCCAATATACTCTATTTTTAATGTAACACATTCCTCAGTGTCTCTAATAAAGAGCAAATAGTGGTATAACAGTTATCAAATAACTTTAAGAGCTAAAGGCCTGAAAGTGCAAACATGTCAATCAGTGACTGTGTTGCTTGTGGTTACATTAATGAAATAGAAGTGTAAAGGTCAAATGATACATTTCTATCTCCTAAATGCCAGAATGTCTGTTTTAGAGAAAAAAGAAATCAAGAAAAACAAAACTTTCCTTAAGTGGCATTATAATACAACAGGGAAATCATTCTGTGATCTACTAACTATATCTATCATTTTACAAATCATCTTCTCTGTTTAGCTTAAATAGTGGACTTATAATGAAATTCCTTTTAATTATTGCAGCTTTCTTATCATTTTAATTTTACCTTTAAAGTTAGTGAAGCAATATATTAAGTGTCAAAATTTCCCTTACTCCTAATAATATTATTCACTGATAAATCTCTGAAGGATTCACTTGAGCTATTTGGACCTTCTTGATAGAGTATTTAATGATGCACCTATTCAATATAGAACATTTGGTACCTCCTTTACTTAAACTTTGGATTTCAATACATGCATGTATGTCTTTGAATACATTGTAATTTGCTACAAACACAAATTAATGCTTTCATTAACTTACTAAATATTGACTTCAATTGCTACTATGTTTAATACATATTAGTAGTTTATGCCTAACAAAATTTGTTAATCTTCCTATGGAGAAATTAACTTTTTCTCCAATCTTCAAATTGCATTTTGTAGTACACGGAAGATAGGAGTTAATGTTTCGCGGGGTGACATAGCAAAGAACAGAAGATGCTAGAACCACATTGGTCGTATTTCAGGACCTTCTGTTTCTAGACCTGGCGAATCAAGGGAAACATAATAATGCTCTGGATCAATACATAAATTTCAGATGACTTTTAAAATGTAGTTTTGCATCACTTTAATGTGAATCAGTTGTTTTATTCTTACCATATGAACAAACAGTTATATTACCATGTCCAAAATGTTTAATATTCTTTGGAAACAATACAAGGAACATCCTCATATATATCCTCTTAGTGACTGAA